TTATAACTCTATTATAAATAGTATCTATCTTTTCTTAAGGCATTATAATAAACCTTTTTATAGTTACTATTATAGCATCCTTTATTATTAATGCAATTATTAATAAATTCTTTATTATATAACTATTATTAGTATTATTTCTCTAGTTTATTATTAATACCTTTATTTAAAGTTATCTATTTAGATAGTATATTATTATTATTTAGGTATAGGCTATCTGCCTTCTATTAATATTATAGTTTATTAATATCTTCTAAACTAATATTATTAATTAATACTATTTTCTTTAGTATATACTTTCCTTAAGTTACTCTATTAAACTCTTTTTTTACTTCTTTAATTATTTATTAAGACTGCTTAATTCCTTTTAAGAGATCTTTAGTTTTATAAATCTATTTATAAAGTAATATATTAAACTATAATTTTATAACTTTAAGTTAGTTATACTATATTTTAATTAAATACCTTTCTATTTCTTCTTATAAATAGGGTCTATTATTAAATATATTTTCTATAATAATTAAGAAATAATTATTATCTATCTTTTCTGCCTTATATTATTTATATTAATAGTTTCTATATAAAATCTATAAGATTTTATTATATTTAGGGTTTATTAATATTATTTAAATATTATCTTATATATTAAAATTAGGCTCTTTATATAATAAATTAAATGCATTATCGATATAGTAGGCTCTAATATAGACTATACTTCTTTCTTTTATATTAATATACTCTTTTAATCTTTATATATAGAGATTATTATAAGTCTTAAAAATTCTAAGTCCTTATTTATTATACTTCTTTTTATAGTCTTAAGTCTATATTTTTATAATCTCCTTATCTTATTTTTAGAGGTATTATATTATAACTTATACTCTCCCTTTTCTATATTTTATACTTTAAGACTGTTAATTAAAGGATTATTAAATATTATTTCTATCCTTTATTTCTTATTTCTATATTACTTTTTTCTTAATAAGCTTAATTCTAATAGAGATATTATCTATTATTTATAATAATAATAATTATTCTAGGTTAAAGTTAATTATTTTTCTCTATTTTATTACTCTTAAGACTTATAGTTCTCTAAATTCTCTTTATTTCTTAGTCTTCTTTCTATCTTATTATTATTATCTTTATTTAGTATTAATTTATTTTTTAAGTTCTATATTATTCTAGATTTTCTTTTTTTAAATTTTTTTATAGATTTTCTGCTTTTTATAATATTTTTCTTTAAGTAGTATCCTTTATATATAGCATTCTTATTAAATCTAATTTTATTCTTTATAGGTCTTTCTATCTGGTTTTCCTATATTAGCTTTTTTATATATAGGGAAATCATCTTATAGTTTCTTAATAGAGCTTCCTTTATTTAAATTCTATCTTTCTTTAAATATATTATCTTTATATAAGGCAGTTATTTCTGCTATATTATATATACCTTATATTATTCCTAAAGTTTAGGTTCTTTATGCTATTTATAGCTTAAGCTATTAAATTAGTCTAAAGGTCTACTTACCTTAATTTAGGTTTTATAGCTTATATAATTCTAGGCATTATTATACTATATATCTATAGTTATTACAGTTATAATACTTACATTTAGATATATTTTATAACTTATATTTTTAATTATTTAGTTAAGTAGCTCTTAATATTATAAGGCCTAACTGTATTTTATATAAGATATTATTATATTAATTACCTTATTATTATCCTTAATTATAAAAGTTATTTTAATTATCGTTATATTATTAATTAAGGTAATACAGATTAAAGTCATTTCTATATTTATAGTTTACTTTCTCTTACCTGCATTTATACTATTATTTATTAATTTTAATTACTATAGTAATATAGATTATAAGATTATTAGGTCTATCTATAAGATATAGTTTATTTTTAATTTCTTCTTTAAGACTTTAGTAATAGATTTCTATAAAGGCATTATTATCCTATTAAGTCTTAACTGCTAGCTAATAGAACTTAGCTAAATAAGTAGTATATAACTTCTGCTATTTAAGTATAAGCAGTTTAGCTATAGCTTATTATTCT